CACACACGCCAGTTTGTTTCTTTTCCGCTTCTGCTTTGCAGCGCGCCCCTTTCCCCATGGCTGTCTGGGTGCAATGGTCATATCGAATCCACCACCAAAAAAATGTGAAAACATATGTGTGTTCACGCAAATGGTTCAACATATTCCGGTGGTTACTTGTTTACGATGTACAGTAACTGTCAAGTGACATACTGCAAGATCCAAACCATATGGAGCCACACAGCACTTAATGGAAGAAAGGTTTTCAGGGTAGTCACTGCGCTTCACAGATTTTCACAAAAACACATCACACAGATCGAGTTCACTCGATCGACGCAGGCAGCCAAGCCTTGTGGGCAGCCACCAGAATTTCGTCATGGGCCGCCAGCGGAAAATGAACTACCAGGGAGATGGGTGCAGGATGCTGAAACAAATTGGTTCTGATATTTTTGCGGGGTCGTCTTTTTAGAAACCAGAAGATGCGGTTGAAGTGACATGCATACATAAACCAAACGTTCGTGCCCAGCGCCTGACCGCCTAAAAAAACTGCAAGGCCGAGCGCAGATCTCACTTTTGAGTTTCGGACATGGTGCAAAAACTGTAGGGGCCCACTGCTTTGTTGGCACTAAGCCACAAAAGAAGAAAACACATGAAAACAAAAGAAAAAGTGGAGAGAGAAACTTCCGAGAAATCGTTTTCTTTTTTAACTTTCGTTGGCTCAAGTGTGGCTCGCAATCCTGTAAACAATCCTTATTGCGTCGCTCGCGAGACTGAGCAGCTTGCTGGTGGCATGTATTTTTTTGCAAAGCGTGCGTACGCAAAGCGCAGGACAGGACACAGGACCTCCACCCACCCACCCACCCATCCCATAGAATTGATCTATAAAGCCTTTGAGCTTCACGACCTATAGTGCCTCTCAACCTGTGTTGGTTAGTCAGGGTTGTGAGATGCGAAAAGACCGTGTCAGCAGTAGCGCAAAGTCCCAGTGCCGGGTCTACTTGGACAACTTTGACTTAGTTGAGCGTCTAGATCCTGCAACCGCGGCTACGCTAGAGGGACAGGTGGCAGATACAGTGCTTGAGCTGCGTGAGCAATACGCCGTACAGAACATTCCACGTCATCCCAAGAAAGCGGCGGTACGTTCTCCCGTGGCTGAGATACAGGGTGCGATTGTTGATGGGGTTGCAGGCTTCGCACAACCCAAGGCGAGCAAGATTGTCTTGTACTGCCAGTTGGCGTTGATGCTTGTCCAACAGGAGAGGTGCACATTGAAGGAGCTCCAAGTGGTTTGCGGCGGCTTTGTGTACTTCGCTATGTTCAGGCGCCCTTTGTTGTCGGCTTTGAACGATGTGTGGAGGTTCATGGAGAAGCTGAAGCGGCTGCCGCCCGTGGTCCGCCTCCCTGTGCCTCCCGAGGTAAAGCGGGAGTTGCTGTTGTTCATCCTGCTGACCCCCCTAGCCGCCCTAGCCCAGATTGATTTCCGCAGTCCCTTCGTGGAGCATGTCACTTGCAGTGATGCTTCGACCACAGGGGGAGGAATCTGCGTGAGTGAAGGCCTCACAGGATATGGCGTGGCAGCGCTACAGATCCTTATGGTGGGGTTGTTTGACGGGCTAAACGCTTTGCGGTTGGCTGTTGATAGCTTGGGTGTTGGCGTGGAAGGTCATTTGAGCGTTGAGAAAGAAGGCACCGGGCGACGTGTAGTGGAGGCATTCTTCCCGGACACCATCTTCCATGACGACGTGAGGACCGTGGATTCCGAGTTGGAGAAGGGGTTATATAGCGATGCGCTTCCCATCAGTGGCCATGATCCTCATTGGCGCTGGTCCGCCTTGCCAGGGGGTGAGCGGCCTCAACGCCTCCAAGAAAGGTGCATTGCGGGATGCCCGGAGTTGCCTCTACCACGAAGTGCCACGCATTCGGGATCTTTTCAAGGAGTCCTTTCCATGGGCCCAAGTGCATCTTCTGATGGAATCAGTGGCCTCGATGTCTGAGGCCGACCGTGTACTCATGAGTGAAGCGGTTAGGGTTTCTCCATACAAGATCGACTCTGGAGGGATCAGCCTATGTCATCGACCTCGTCTCTACTGGGTTGATTGTGATTTGAAGGAGGGGGAGGGCGTGACTATCACCCCTCCCGGACAGAACGGACCTGAATGGACCGGATGTGCAACCAACCACAACGCAAAGAGGTCAAAATGGCCCGCAACTCCAAGACATTTATGTGCTCTCCTGAGCGGCGCCACCGCCAGCCAGTCACCTCCTTCCAACGCCATAACTTCGCAGGCACGCTTGACCGAAGCCGGTGGAACTTGACCTGGGGTTCACTCGCAGCAGTGATCATCAGGTCTTCCCCTTTCATAGTGCCTTGCTGCGCTTTCGGGAGACAAGGGCGTGTGTGCCCCACTGGAATGCCCATGATGGCCTCCCTTTCTTGTGCCGTTGGCCGCCGTGAGGCTCCCTTTCTAGTCCAAAGCATGTCGTGGTCACGATACTGGTACGGTGGGAAGTGATAACTGTCATCCTTGCCATCTCTGACGTTCATGGGCTGCGCAACGCTCCAAACCTGCAGGCCGGTAAAACCTTCTGTGACAAACCAACCCTGCTCCAAGAACGAAGTGGCATCCACCTGAGCTTCTAGTGCTACTTGTCTCCGTCGAGGTGGTTTTAGCAAACGTTTCCTGCGCCTAACCGACAGTTTGGTGTGTTTGCATAGCTTGTCGCGTGGACGAAGTTCGTCAAGAAAGTTGAGGCATGTCTTGACCAGAGTGAACTCTCTCATTCTTGCTGCGGATCTCCACCAGATTTGGGGATATGTTCATACTGCACAGAACCCAGCCGACCGGCCTAGCCGGCGGCCCCTTGGGCGCAAATGGAGACAGTGAAGCAACATTTGGAGGGCCACAGTAAGGAAGAGAGAGCGAAAAACAGACAAGCTTCAGGAACGTTGCGAGAACTCACTGTTCAACCTCAAACTCGAAAGAGATACAGTCTGGCCCAGCAGAAATTCGATGACTACGCTCTGACCAACGGGTTATGCATTCCCACCAAGTTCACCGCCTTCGATGACATGCTTGCCGACTACGTCGAGCATTTGTGGAGCATAGGAGAGGGCTGCCAGTGATACGGTTGCCGGATTCCAGGACACAGAACCGCGTTTGAAGGGACAACTACAGGTGACCTGGAGACTCTTGAAGACGTGGCACGTGCCGCCACTCCCAGAAGAGTGTTTGTTTGCCATGCTTGGATGGTGCTTGTTCAACAAGGAGTACTCCTTCGGCCTTAGTTTGTTGTTGGGCTTCTATGGTTTGCTGCGCACGGGGGAGATTCTGGGTTTGTGTAACCATCACATTCTCATGACATCTCCCGAAAAACCAGCGGTACTCTCATTAGGTCTGACTAAGTCCGGAAAACGGGCTGGAGCGGCTGAGAGTGTCACAACTTCAGTCACCAATGCTCTCCAGTGGCTATGCCTCACGCTGCCCACTCACCCCTGCACCACACAGTTTACGGCGGGGTGGGGCCACTTGTTGGTTTGGCGGACATGGTTCGTTAGATCGGATCATTGTTTTGGGCAGGTGGGCCGCTGCGCGCACGGCGCGTATGTACATCAATGGGGGGCCTGTCCATGCTTGCGTCCCTTAAGTTGCCCCGCAAAGCTTTGCTTCCGTATGTCCGAACGTTTCACCAGCATGACCTTACTCAACTGCCGAGTGCGCTTGAGCGTGCTAAAGCAGTTCAGGGGGAGGTGGAAAGAGTGGGAAACCCTAGTGAAAGACCAGTGTGAGGGGGAAATTAATTTCCGTGTCAGGAGAAAGACACTTAGGTACCTGTGCCCAAGGGTCCTGGCTTGGCAGGATGCTTGGGGGGTACGGAGGGGCGGCCACCTTTCTTTTCGGTTTGGCAGGAAAGGTGGCCGTGGTGCCTCGAAAAGTGGGATGTTCAATGAGTGAACGTGATGTCTTTCTCAATGTGCGTTGAATTTCCTTTAACATTTTTGACACATTCCTGCATGCGCGGGTGAAAACAATGGGTGTGAGTCTTTATATATATATATATAAATGCATACAGCCTGAAACACAAAATTTTCAGAGGATTCCCTCTGATTTGACACGGACAGCTGGCACAGACATGGTTTGCGACAAATGATCGGCATCACCATGGTGTCTAATTATCTATTGTTCCTTTGCAATCTGTCGTCGTTGCTGCATGACTAGCAGGGCCTCTTGGACCAAATAGTTTTGGATGGCTCATATGTGCAAAAGGAAGTCCACTTGCGGTAGTGGCAGTTCCTGCCCAATCGAAATCACCGTCTCTAATTTAATACTGCTCCTGCTCAACTGGGAAGTGTATATAGTATGTGTAAAATGGCGGTGTAGCATGCTCGGTGACATGGTGGTTTTTGCACCTGTCCTGCTTGACGTCAAAGATGGTCGCAGCCTGTAATTGAGTTTTGGTTTCAGCACGATGCTGATTTTGAGTCGAACTCAGATAGCTTAGGAAGCGTCATTTTCGATGTACAGCCATCAACAAGATGATGGAGGCACTTTTTAGTGGGAGTTGTTCCTTTTGTGATGCAGCAGTAATTTTTTTGCCTTTTGCGCTGACCCCCTGTACAGAGCTTGTTTCGGGCTAGGAAAATGCCTTGGTATGCCTTTTGTATCCTTTTGTTTATTTGTGGCCCTCGTCACTTCCGTATGTGTGAACTTGTGAAAGCTTTTTCACGCTCCTTTGAAGAATTGCAAATGGTGTGAAGCAGCGGCAGAAGTACAACAAGTGGATGAGAGTGTAAGTAGGTCCACTGTACTGTAGTCCAAACAGGCCATTTTTGTCGTCTACATGATTCGGAGCTTCGGCAAACATCCACAGAACAACATCATAGTGGCTTGCTATATACATAATCAGGCTGAACTTTCATTATTAATTAGAGCTGGGGTTGGACGTAATATGACGTATATTATCAGATTGGATTTGTGGTTTCCTTGCTCGTGCCACACCTCCCAGATGTGTTCGTCTTTGAGGTCTTTCCCTCGGCGGACGCCTCGGTACTTCGCGGGGATTTTGAACCCCAGGTTGTGCGCAACAATCTCCAGAAGCTACTTGGTGATGCAGTTGTGGCATGTTGTGATGAAGGTAGAATCGCAGGCTCAATGTCAATTTGTCAATGTGTGCGCGCTCAGGTCGACATCAGGCCTTGGGGGTTGCCGTGCCCTCAACAGGAATACATATATGCACATATATATATATATATAATAAATAACTGCATTCCATGGTGTAAAGCGTGATTTTTAGGTGGTAATGGACTTTCCCAGCCGCGAACTATGCAGAGAGATTGTCCGAAAGAATTTCTTGCGGAGCCAGGCGGGGCGGCCGTTGCCATGTACAGTAAGTCCCATGACCCATTGCCTTTGTAAGACAAAATTGTGTTGAAACATGTTGAAACATGGGGTGGTATATGCCCAGAAGTGGAGTGGAGCTGCGTGGTCGTGGCTTCAACTTGCTCAGGAACGCCCTGTATCAGCTGTCTCTATCATTAGACTAGACAAGTTACATGACCTTCCGTACAATCCCTGTAACTTCAGGTCGCTTCCAGCCGTGTGATGCATGCATTGGATGGCTGGGGTGAGGAATACACCACAGTGCTTAGAGAAATTGATGCAGCAGCTGTCGCACCGCGAGATGAAGTTGATGAGGACCCTTGTAAGAGAAGTGGAAGCGGACGCTACTAGGAGCAAAGGGCATCGCTACTAGGAGCAAGGACGCTACTAGGGGCTCCTGGCATCGCTACTAGGAGCATTCTTGCTGCTAGTAACAGTCAAAGCGGACTCTTGTCCATCCAGACCTTTGGCTGAGGACTACGTGCAGAAACTTTCCACTATCTACTCCCGGCTATTGGTTCAAAGAAGCCAATTTGTGATAGCTTCTCAGCACAACATGGAAACTGGCCTTATGAATTTGACAGAATTTGGACTATGAGAATGGCTTCCTTCATTCTTGCATAGTTTCACAGATGATGCCGTTCCGTTTGTCGCGTTGTTTTGTTCTTTGTCCGGAGAGATGCTGGATTGACATGGATTGTTGGAGGTCTCGGACGACATCAGAAAAGAGTGCAAGGCTCAGAGACAAGTGCCCAGCGAATTGCACCTGACAGCCTCTCAAATCTCGCGGGTTTGGGAGAAGCAGATGCAGCGCACCAAGCGGAAGGCCTGGTGGACCTACTATACACTCCATTTGATCCGTAGATCCGTAGATTTAGATGATTGTATCAAGATTGATATAACATTTGCATACAAACACTGGTATATTTGGTGTGATCCCACAAATGTTCGGACCCTAGATATCATGTTAAGATATGTTAAGCATGCCCTTGGTCAGCTGCTCCGGCGGTGGGTGGGTGTGCTATATTCTATCAACACTCCCTGTGAGGTGAGGGAGGTTGCCAAAAAACACCCAGCACCTTGGATGGCACCGAGTGGAAGGCTGCACTGACGAGAGGCTACGATAACAATGGCATACAATGACTATTGAGGTTTATGGAGTACGTTTCTATATTATACATATTATACTACTGTCAGGTTTCAAGTTTCAATCATCGAATGACGTGATTCTTCGCCGATAATTCATTGTGTATTGATGTATTGTAATCTTCTTGCATTGTTTTTGTGTTTTTTTTGGCGTGTGTGTTTACTGTCCAGTGGAAGACCATTCCTTCTGAGCAGAGGGAGGATCAGGAAACAGTATGTAGAGGAAGGTTTGGGTTAACAGTAGGCATCGCAATTTGTAGACAGGTCCTGCCCGAATCGGATGCTTCGGACGAGCGCAGACCTCGGAGCTCAAGGCCAGCGGTCAGTTGAGACCACTGCACTGGGCTGTCGGGATCGGAAGGCCGTCGAGCTGTTGGTTCAGCATGAGGAGCAGAAGCCAAAGAAGTCGGAGCACCGTGCAGCTTTTCCGTGGAGATCAAGCAAGCCCAATCCCACATGAGAAGATCAACGGCTTTCTCTGACGAGGCTTGCAAGAGTCTCGTTTAACGGGTTTTCAGATGTTTTCAGCAGATGTTTTCAGAATGAATTCCACGTGGTCTCCTCCCACGCATACCTTTTGAGTGTCCTTTAGGCAGTGCCTTTTCAGTGAGCGGCCAGGCAGAGCTTGGGTGCCAAAATGGCACCAGGGCTCCTAGACCAGGAAGCTGTTCAAGCAAAAAACAGCTTGGCAAGAGCTTGAGGTGATGTTGGCACTGGCTCTGGGTCAATATCGTCATTTGTATTCATTTGTGCCGGGACACCGGGACACTGCATTATCTTGAGGCAGTGAATAAGTGGGATTTGATCCATGAGAAGGACCAGCCAAAGTTCCGAGAAGAGATCCTGAGCAGGAGATGCACCTGAAAGCTTTAATGACTCCAAGAAAGGACCTTGATTGCCTGCTCCTCACCCCAACGAATATATGGGAATTGATCGAAAACCCCGTGTAAGGAGTTTTATATAAAACAGCCTTTCAGATGTTAGAACCATCCGCGAAAGATTCGCGATGAGGTTCGCGAAAGTATCTTTTTTTCCCGCGAAAGATTTATCGAAGGTCATCGCTTTCATTTGTGTTCTTTTCTACTGGAGTGTCCCCATATGTCACAGACTAACGAATTGAAGCCTCAACATGTCCGTGCCCAGCCCTGGCAGTGCGTAAAGCATTCTCCGATTCCTGTCCCCACTGTCACAGACTAGCAATCTGGGTAGGCACAGCCCTGACAGTGAGGCAACGACCTGCAGCTGCCCTGACGGGCTGCGCAGATGTTTGCAAATGTTACGGCTTCCCGGGAAAGCACCAGTGAAATTTCGCGAAAGTTTCGCGAATGTGCCGCTAAAGTCTAGGTTCCCAGCTTGAGGCCCCCCAACATTCCCCAAGCTGCATCACTCTGTGTTGGTAGCTTGCACGAGGATTGGGTTGAGTTGTACCTGACTCTATTTGGCACAATTGTCGCACAGATGCTGCAAGTGACCCTGCGTAGCTGTGGAAGCGTTCAACCTTCCACACGGGTCATGCTGCAAGATGTCTGTCCCTATTTTGTGATACTATGACATGTTCCGGCTCATGTTAGCTAGACATGGTTGTAGGACCATGCTTCGCGATGAGGTCGCGAAAGATCCGCGAAAGATATCTTTTTTTCCGCGACGAATGGCCATTCCAGGATGAAAGAATATTGATCAACCAATATATATATATATATTATATATGTATACCCGGTGCGCGTCATAATTACTCAATTTGCCAGGGGGCCAGTTTTGTGACAGTGTTGCTTGCTTTTGATCAGATCCCGGAAAAGCCGACATTCGAGGATCCAAGAGAAGTTTGGAATAGTGAAGGGCGTCCCGGTGATCTTCATGTCGGCTAAGTACAACCTGAATTTGCCGACCCTGATGCCAAATCCTTAGACTAAGGATCAGAGAGCATTGATATATGTTCTCCATGTCATCAAGTCATTCGGCTTTTGACTGTAGACACTGTAGACTATACACTGTCCAGACTGTAGGTCGCAGGTCTAGGTTTGATGGGTGTGTCCTTCCGTTCTTTGTAAGCTTGGCCCGCACACGCCCCAGCTGCACCAGAGAGGCGCATGACTTATATAAGGACCCGCAGCATGGCGCTCTACAAGCGCTGGAGTGCTCGCTTGCCCACCAGCAGGCCACGGAAGCTTGCCGGGCCTTGGTAGCCACTATCGAAAGCTTAGGGCTTAGGGCGTTGGAGAATTCAACAAGATGCGGCGCATTACAGCGTTGAGATCATTGAAGGTACTGGGTACTTGCTGGTGCTTGTGTTACTGTAAGTCGAACGTTCTTGTGTGAAGTCGATCGATAATGGTGTCCTGTTATGTCCTGTTGCAGGACAGCTGTATGGAAGATGATTCTGTAGATGACCATGCTTTGATTTACATACTAGTTACTAGATGTTACTAGATTGATGCAAATCAGTTTGATGAAATTGGACACTTGCTTGTCGCTTAAAGAGTTAAATCCGTTCTGCCTAATGCTTGCTTACGAATCTGGCTTGTTGCTTAAGAATCTGCTGGTCTCGAGCGGGTGCATTCCTTGACTGTGCTCTCGTTGTGGTGTCGTGCACATTTTTGGACTTTGTGTTCACTTTTTGTGGCAGGCGCAGGGGAAACATGTTCATGGGAGGCTGTTCACCTACAGCTCGTGCAGAGATGCGCATAGGCTCGACGCACGGACACACACAGATATCCTTAACAGCTTATGGAAAGACTGTGAATTCGCTATATGCTTATGTATGGTGTCCCATGGTGGTGCAAAAATCGTTGAAGCCAACTAGTTAGAATTGTAATTAGGGAACGACGCCACCAGGCGCCTGGTCTTGTTGGTAAATCAATCATGACGCCCCCAGTCACCCTGCGGTGCACGCGTGCGCACCCTATTTTCGGCACTTGCCAAAACTACTTCGTGTTCCACATTTTGGAAAGTGCTTTAACGTTCTCCTGAGGTGATCCACGCATCTTCTCGCGTCGAAGCGCCCACTAGCATCAACATCCCACGCAAGTGCACATGAACGTTAACATGCCCCACCCCACCCCACCCCAGTTAACATGGACGTTAACATAACCCATAGCATCGCATACATGTACTGTACAAGAAACAGCAAAAAAGTCAACGCCTCCACTGTTGTGAAAATCCATGTCACCAAAAACAAAGAAAACACCAGGCGCCCCGCAGCGACGATGGCAACTAGTTAGAACTGTGGTGTTGATGTGGTGTCCGCACACTTTTCTTCAATTGCGGGTTGTTTCAAACCCCTCGCGTAAAGCCAGGCGTTGAAGAGGACATGCAAGAAAGAAAGCTACACCCTGTTAGACTAACATGGGCCCTGAAAACCACTAGTTGGTAGAGGAAAACCATCTTCCAGGGGGCCATTGTCAGGGTCTATGTTAGTTTTCGGAAGTATAATATTTGTGTGTTTTTCTTGGTAGGTGCAAGAAGCGCAAGAACAAGCGCGAGGTATAATATATATATATATATTATTTCAGCCACTGGCCTCTATAAAGGCCGTTCTGTGTTCAGGAAGGCAGTACACAAATAAACTATGTATAAACTATGTGGTTGCTCATGTTGTGAATGGTGTTGTGGAGCTATGTTATGTAGTATTTGATGTTGTGAATGATGTTTTGGAGCTATGTTATGTATTAATTGATGTTGTGAATGATGTTGTGGAGTTTTGTGAAGTGATAATTGATGTTGTGATTGGTGTTGTGAAGCTATGTTGTGATGTGGTGTGTTATGATTGGTGTTGTGGAGCTATGTGATGTGATAATGCAATGCTGAACATGGTTGGTTGACCGGTCTTGTGTTATGTTGTGTTGTTGTTATGTTCGTTCATGATGCAATGACGTGGGCCCACTTTTGACTATCACTCATGAGTCATGACTATGACTCATGACTTGTCCGGATGGCATTATATCATAAGAAACTGTTTGCATTATGAGGAAAGGTATGGTTTCGAACTATGTTTGAAAGTTAAACATGGTTGCACTTGATACAGTACAGTAATAGTTTGAACCACAACATTGAAGAATGACGCAAATTACCCAGTTGGTGACAAAGTGCATTTCTTGGCAAACAGGACTTGCTAAATATAACATATAGTAATATATAGTATTTTACACATGGTGACTATGTGATGTGCAACCTGCTCAACAAGAGAGCAATTGTATAATGCTGATTGGGTTTGTAAACAAATGTCACGTTCAAAATCTAAAGCGCGTATTGTTGTAAAATCATTTGATGAGTTTATCCAACTATCTCACATTTGTTGCAGTATGTTGCAGTAAAGGACTATTTTAAAGTAAGTCTTCTTCAAATGGATATGAACGATAGAACTATGCTGCAAACCTGCATCTTCCAATGTAGCTGTTTCAATTTTCAATGGACGCGGCATCGATGGTACCACTCTTTCAAAACCTTTGGTGCTTTCAATTGAAGCTGGCGCAAATACACAGATGATACTGTTTGATTCTATATGAGCGCAAGTGATACCATTGAAACAAGAAAACACATCTCCGTGGTCAGTCGTGATGGATTAATTTGGGCATCTGAATTTCGTCACATGCCACATATCATATATACACATAGTTTACCACGGACTCAAAGACGCCTAGATAGAACTATGACAGACTGCGCTAGTGGCTGAGGCTGACTAGAAGAAGTGATGCCAAGCAGGTATCATTTTGGCAAAATGTCAGAAATATGTGACAACCGCGTTTTTGCATCAACCATGCATGTTTCCAGACTACGACACAACATGATTCATTGGCTTGGGGAAAGCATGAATTGTACACTATAGACACATATTTTATTATGCTTGTAAAGTATGCCACCGCCAAGCACAGCGCCCATTTTTCAACTAACGCATTTTCCAGCTTCCGCTAATGCAGAGTCATTATGCGTTACCATTACATTAAGCAAGGTATGACATGCTAATTGCACAAGGACACATTCGATGGGATTAATGATACTACATGTATCATATGGGACCAAACCTATAAAAAACACATTGGATTGACATACAAAGAACAAGACCTACGGCCACAGTAGGATAAGCATCGATGAAATACTGCAGATATCTATAGATGATAGTGAAGTTGTATTCTTGGACAGTAGGTTATGTCTCCAAACCTCTTCCTGATGAATGTCCCAGTATTTTGCCATTATTGTCCATCATTTTGTAGACGGATAGACCTGTGAGCTTCATTCCTGTGTCAAAGACTGACATATGTCAGATTCCTTTGTGCTCTCCCAGATGTTTGGTGGTTCCTGGCTCGGTTGCTTTCCCTCGCTGGTGAGGAAATTTCGGAGGGCAATCGCAAGTGTCAGCACACGCACACGAACACGCACAAAATAAAGGACAATAGTATTTTGAGCCTTTTGTACCTGCAAACGGTTTAAAACGGTTTCACAAACGGTTTAAAACGGTTTCGAACGCGGTTACGATCGGTGTCGAACAGTTCACAGGCAGTCCCCTCCCAGTTCCCGAGCTTTTTCGATCTCTATCAGACGGTTCCGGACCTGGTCGGGATTTCCTGCAAAAGTAGTTTTTCCGATTTCTAACTTGTTGAGTTTGTTGTGACAATTCCTCCTGAATCCTGCTTGTGTGCTCTCCCGAAATCTCAGAAGAGGACATTGAACCAGTCCAAGCTTGTCAAGTCAAACGGTTTTTTCTCCCTGGTAGGAGTACTTAGAACTGGAACAATTGACATTGAGTAGTTCAAACTCAACTCACAATCCACGAGTTGCCATATACAAATGCTCAACGTCAGCAGTTTCAAGCTTTTGAACGGTGTCTATGACTTGTGAAGTTATGAATCATGTCATGTCATGTCATGTATACCTTTTGGTCACGGATTGATGTATAGGCATCTGAAGATCTCCAGAGCAGAAATCAGCCATCTATTGAAAGTCCAAGATGTACATTGCTACAGGATCCATTAAACCGTTTAAGACCGTTTGGGACGGATCCATCAAACCGTTTAAAACCGTTTGGGGGTATATTCATGCAATGGTTTGATATAGCTCGAGATAGTTTACAATAGTTTTAAATAGTTTTGGACACTAGAAGGTCCGCTAAACCGTTTAAAACCGTTTGGTGGTTTCTCTGTAAACCGTTTAAAACCGTTTGGGGACATGCACAAGTTGACTGTCGTTGACTCTTTGAAAGACAGAGTATATATATATATATATTCATATTTAATATGCAAAGATCTTGTGCGTACTTGGCATAGCTTGCTGACTCGATACAACATAAGTGCTATAAGCAAACTTGTAAAAGTTCTTGTTGCATTGCCCTACATTTTGCAGTGCTGTATATTGGAGGGCTGAAGTAAGGCCAGGCAGAGCCCATGCGTTCATTTTGTTGGGGTTTGGTGAGTCAAAAGAAGCAAACACACAAGGAACGATGCCTTGTCTTAGAAGAAGTGACTGCATTGGTGAGTGTTTGTTGTAAAATGCCGCTCGATATGACATACTGATGTACCAAGGGGAAAATGATGTACAGGGTGTATGGTCGTACATTCCCTGATTGAAACCTATGGTGCAACTGAATGGAGTCCTGTCAAGCAAGAAGCAGCATCACGTTCTGCATCACTACTTATCATTCATCACTGTGATTGCCGATGACTTTTTCCTGCCAGCACCTACTAAATAGTATTGTCCATGGTGTCTGTGTGGCAAGCAGCAACAATCCAAGGCAAAATTAATTCATAATTAGATAGCAGGACTTGATACAACTAACAAAATACCTGAACTGGATTGTTTTTTAAGTATACTATACTTGGTTGTTTTTCCAGACTCGCAGGGACTCATCTCTATTTCTCAACCTTGATCCACTGAACAGTTTTTTCTCACGTCTCTGCCAAATGCACCATTACCTTAATCGAACTATTTATGAACATGGCTCACGATTCCGACATGAGTTACTCATATTTAAACAATTTTACGCGTGTCCAAACTATAGCAACCCGCCTTTCTGTTTATATCATCCAATGGAAACTAAATGAAAAATTTACATCCCGCCCATCCACTCCAAAACTGTGATTTCACAAGGCACCAAAGTTACAAACAAATGGAAGGCCCAACTTCCCAACATTCACAACATCAAGTCCAACATGAAAACTTACAGCACCCACACCAGAGTTCTGGAAAGGCAGAATCAAAACATCAACTCCAACATCAACACTACATAAGGGCAAATTCAGGACATCAACTCCAACATCAACACTTACA